TGACAATTGCAAGCTCTAAAATAATAATAACCAATCATATAGAGTTTATATTATGATTACTTTAGAACTTGTAATTGCCAAATAACTGACTCAGAGGGGGGCTATATTTATGTAATAAGTGGAAGTTCCTAATTTCTTGATAAAATCTTTTCTGATAATTGTTCTTTAATTTTTTTTTGTATATAAATGTTTACTTTTTACTATTTCCAAAAGCTTTCTCTAAATTAAACACGCAAATTAAATTACTTTATTAAAAAATATTATTATGAAATTTAATTTTAAATTATATATTATCAGGCTATAAGTATGTATTTATTAACCTATAACATAAGATATATTAGTATTTTAAAAAAATTCTTATGATGACTTGCATTTTATAATAATAGATCTTTTATTTTATTTTATATTTGAATTACTTGTGCAGGCTTAAGCAATTAAATAATGGAAGCTTTTGAACTTAATGATCCAATATCAGAAATTGTTGATTCAGATTATGATACTCACGATACTCATAATCCTTATAATATTCATGATATTCATAATATTCATGATACTCATGATACTTACAATACTCATGATACTCATGATACTCATGATACTCATGATACTCACGATACTCATGATATTCACGATACTCATAATACTTATAATACTTATGATACTTATGATACTCAAGATACTTATGATAATCATAATATTCATAGTAGTAGAAATCAGAAAAAAGAGGTCAACCAAAAAATATGCTTTGGAATAATCATTTTAGAGAAATTAATTTGCAAGCTGATGGTTATAAAGGTTGGAAGTGTTTATATTGTAATGAACAAAATCCACGTGCATCTGATATGAATATGAATGCGCATTTAGCTTTAAATTGTAAAAAAGTTCCACTTAATATTAAACAGGATCTTTTACAAAAATTTCTTATACCAAATCAAAAAAAAATCAAAACAGTGATAGATATTCTCACTGGTGTACAACCATGAATTGACAGTAAATTTCAAACTATTAATCAAATAGATTCTGGACATGAAGACATTAACTAAATTTTTTGTGTGTTGTGGAATCCCCTTTTGGATCGTTGAGCATCCATTTTTTTTAGATTTTTGCAAAAATTTATATACTTCATACAAACCACCTGACCAAAAAAGTTTAAGTAATAATTGGCTTAATTTTGAAACAGCACGAGTTATAGTAGCTATGGAAAAAGAACTTCAACATAAAAGTAATCTTACATTAGGTAAGATTTATAATAAGTTAAAATGATTTATACTTATTAGATAAATATAGCTTCTTTCAAAGTTAGTTATTTAAATAATTACAAGTTTAAAGTAATTAATTATTTGACAATTGCAAGCTCTAAATAATCAATCGTATAAAGTTTATATTATAATTACTTTAAAACTTGTAATTGTCAAATAACTAACTTTGAGAAGGCTATATTTATCTAATCAGTGTGAGTTCTCTAATAATTATATTTTTTAAATATAATAAATTAATATTAATTTATTATTAGTCTTAGATGGGTGGACAAATAAGCATTGTTATTCTTATTTTGCTTTTATTATTATTACATCTGATAAAAAGCAATATGTACATTCAATTAAAGACTTTTCTAATGAATTACATACTGCGATTTTTATAGCTGATGAAATTGAAAAGGTTTTAACAGATATTGGTGTTAATAAATTTGGTGCTATAGTATCTGATATCGCTTCTGCTATGACACTTGCTAAACAATAAATTGCAAAAAAATATCTAACGATTTTATCTGTTAGATGTGTTGCACATTATATTTAATTAATTTGTAATGATATTGTTTGTAAAACTTTATTTGGAAAAAGAGTTTTACAACAATGCCAATCTTTTGTATCATATTTTCATGCATCTCATTGATCTGGAGCAATTTTGTATAATAAAATAACTCATTTAATAATTAACAAAGGTGGATTAAAAAGCTCTGTTTATTCACGCTGATCATCTGCACATAATTGTGTACAATCAGTTCTTAATATAGAAATTTGTATTAAACAGGTAATTAATTATTTATATTTATTTTATTTATTATTGCTTAAGCAGATGACTTTATTCAAATACAGTAATAGAAAACATATAGGGATTTTGTTTACTATCAGTTACAAGCACTATATCATATATATTAAAATAATTATATCTTCATATAAGGGGACTTACACTTATTAGGTGAATGTAGCTCCCCTCCAGAATCAGTTCTTTGAACAATTACAAGTTCTAAAGTAATCAATTGTTTAACAATTACAAGCTCTAAAATAACTAATTATATGAAGTTTATATTACAATTACTTTAAAACTTGTAATTGTCAAATGATTAACTCTAGGAGGCTATATTTATCTAATAAGTGCAAGTTCCTTAAAGAAGTACAACAAAAGAGAAACTACATAGCTATAACGAAAATTAGTTAATTAGTATTATATAACAATATAAGCATTATTACTTATTTTTAGATTCTTACACTATTATCACAGCCATGAAGTCTAATTACCAAAATGAAATTCTTATGCTGATATTGTAGCTAAAGAATCTAACTATCAAATATGAGATTCTTATATTACTATTGCAGCCACAGAACTCAATTATTAATATAAAGTTCTTAAACTGCTATTAGAACTGCAGCATCTGCTTACCAAACATAAGATTTTTGCACTACTATTGTAGCTGTAAAGCCTATTTACCAAATAAGATAGCTATGTGATGCTATCGTATTGCACCAAAACTAGAAATATAGTCAACGATTTTATAGTATAACTATATAAAAATAAATGTGCACTATTAGTGCTCCTATTTTTTATTCTATTAGATGTTCTAATATTATTTATGTTAGCATTTATGATAATAAAAGAATGCATAGATGGTGATGCTAATAGATCATATTTGTGTTATTGAAAGAAAATCTGAGTTGTAAAGGATATGCATAAGGCCTTTAGAAATTATCAAAATCTTCTAACATAAAAAACAATGCTATGTTTATTATTGTACAAATATTAGTCAGAGTCAATAAGAGCATCTTAATATCATAATAACAAGTATACTCAAGCTCAAAAATTAGAAAAAATTTTTTCTTATTTC